GTAATGGGCTGAGCTGCAGAACAAAGGCTTGGGGGTGGTATTGAGGTCATGTAATTCACTTTTGCATTAAAGAACTAGAAAACCTTCTGCAAGAGTCCAGAAAACCTAATTTTCATACAAGCACAAAAGCAGCTCCCTGAGCAGCAGGATGGTATTTAACAGTCTCTTCCCTGCTGATTATCCAGGGTCTAATACAAACTGAATTCACCTCTTGTAGAAACTGAGTATCTTGAAACTTCTGCCTGTTTCTCCAATTCAGCTGAAATCAGCTAGTATCTTCCACAGCTTTGGGTGTGGGGGACAGACGGGGCGAGACAGCATGATCACATATGTCTTGCATTCCTCGGACAACAGCCAAGGGGGAGAGGCAGTTCTGAGAGCTGGTAGGGGGGTGTATAACCAGATTAGATACTGACTTCCCACTGCTGAGAGAGAGAGAGTGCTGCTTTCAGCACTCCTGCTCCGTGATACATAAGTGACGTCATGACTTAAAAAATAAAATCACTTACTATCCTGCACTACTTCCCCCAAAGATTGCTGAAATGGCTTGCTAAGAAAGAATTAAGATGTAAGAGAGATGGAGATGAAAGAAAAAGAGAAAAAGGAACAATGCAAACCCTTCCTTTGGTTTCAACCAACTACAGAGCATCCTGGAAGAATAGCAAAAAATAGCACTGTCAGAAAAAAATAGGGCAGTTGCTTTTTCCCAATGTGGTTTTTCAAGAGTATTTAACATTTGGATATTTGCTTCCACTGCTCTCTGCCATTCAAATCTTTTTGTTATTTAGCTTTTCAAATCAAAAAAGTTTTTTCCTATAAAATATAAAAAATTTTCCTACTGCAAACTGTATTTCTTGTTGAGGCAATAATGTGTGGTTATTTGAAGCAAGATCAAATGGAAAACTGAAAAAATAAATGAACTAGCTGAGCAGACACAGTGACTCAAGAGGTGCATGAAAGTCAAACCTTGATCTGATGTAGAGTTCATTCAGAACTGAACAGCCAGGGTAGGGCTTGTGCACCATGGCACAGTCTGTGTGCTCTTCATGGGATGGTTACAGTAGTGAAGACTGCTGAGTCAGGATCTCAAAGAGCAACACGCTGGGTACAAAACCTGGCTGGATGGCTGGTCCCAAATTGTGGTGGTGAACAGAGTTAAATCCAGTTGGCGACCAATCACAAGCGGTGTTCCCCAGGGCTCAGTACTGGGGCCAGTTCTGTAAGTATCTTTATCACTGACCTGGACAAGAGGATCAGGTGCACCCTTAGTGTGTTTGCAGATGACTCCAAGTTGGGTGGGAGTGTTGATCTGCCCAAGGTCAGGAAGGCTTCAGAGAGGTGGGTGTGTCTCTCCTCCCAAGTGACAAGTGATAGGACAAGAGGAAATAACCTCAAGTTGGACCAGGGGAGGTTTAGATCAGTTATTAGGAAAAATTTCTTCACCAAAAGGGCTGCCAAGCATTGGAACCGGCTGCCCAGGGAAGTGGTTGAATCACCATCCCTGAAGGCAGTTAAAAGACATGTAGATGTGATGCTTAGGGACATGGTTTAGTGGTGGACTTGGCAGTGTTAGGTTAATGGTTGGACTAGATGATCTTAAAAGTCTTTTCCAACCTAAACTATTTTATGATTCTATGACTAGGCTGGTAAACTCAGTTCTTTCCTGTTTTGTTGGGGTTTGTTTGGTTTTCCCCTGTAATAAAATTGTGGAAGAACAGTAATTTTTCAGGTCAAGAGGGTCTTCATTCAGCCTCAGAGGACCTCTTCCACAACAATTTTAGCTCCTGGATTGTGCTTGAGGAAGAGGATGAAGCAAGGAAGGATCCAGATAATCAGGGAAGTAGCAATGAATGAAGAACAAATATCAAGAAATACTGAGCAAGGATGGATACGCAAAAAAAAAGAAGGGAACAAAAAGCCAGAGTTTGAAGAAAGAAGTGCCCCTCTCTTGACCTCAACAATATGCAGAGGGGCTTGAGGTCAGGTTCGAGGACTGCCCTTGACAATGCAGCTTCTGTGTTTCCCTTGATAGACAGTGGATCCAGCTGGGCAAAGTGAACACCCCTTCTGCTTTTGAGGTCTGGGGAGTCAAGAGCAGTTCCCTGCCCGCTATGTGGAGGCTCAGTTGCCTGATCTGAGGGGCAGAGAGGGGGCAAGGGGAAGTAGCTGGGTCCCTTGTTCATTGTTTCTCAACTGTCCTACCCACTGCGTGCTTCCTTCCCTTGGGCAATGTTGCGGTCACTATGCTCAGTATTTAAAGAAGGCCACAAGGGGCCTGACGATGGTCCACTCCAGCAGAGTCACACCAGCCTTTCAGTCTTTGCTTGGAGCAACTTGGTGCCTCTTCTCACCCACAAGCATTCAGCCTGTGTGAAGGGTTTCAGGAGACAGACTGGGAGAGTCCCCATTGTGGTTTAGGCCCAGCCAGCCCAGGCGGCCGCTCGCTCACTCTTCCCCACAGTGGGGAGGGGATGAGAAAATATAAGGAAAGGATCATGGGTGGAGACAAGAACAGGCGGGATCACTCACCAGTTATGGTCATTGGCAAAACAGATTCGACTTGTGGAAGATCAATTTAAAGATTTATTAAAGATTAAAGATTATTTAAAGATTATTAAATTTTAAAGATCAATTTAAAAAAGATCAATTTAATTAGTTACTGATCAAATCAGAGTGGGGCAATGAGAGACAAACCAAACCAGATCTTAAAACCGACTTTCTCTCACTCCTCTCTTCTTCCTGGGCTCAGTGCTCCCCATTTCTCTACATCCTCCCCACCAGCAGTGCAGGGGGACAGGGCATGGGGTTTGTGGTCAGTCCATCACACGTTGTCTCTGCCAATCCTTCCTCCTCTGGGGAGGATCCTCACACTCTGTCCCTGTTCTAGCCTGGGGCCCCTCCTACAGGAGACCATCCCCCATGAACTTCTCCAGTGTGAGTCCTTCCCACAGGCTGCAGTTCTTCACTAACTTCACCCCACGGGGGGGCATCCTTCCGCAGCCTGCTCCAGCGTGGGCTTCCCACAGTGTCACGGCTTCCTTTGGGAACAGCCACCTGCTCTGGTGTGGGCCTCCCTGGGCTGCAGGGGGGGGTTTCTGCTCCCCCATGACCCTCCATGGCTGCAGGGCACAGCCGCCCCTCTCACCAGGGGCTACAGGGGAACCTCTTCTCCAGCTACCTCCTCCTGCCTTTCCACACTGACCTTTATTTGTTCAGTTGTCTCTCTCATATCACACTTCCCTTCCGCTCCTCTCTCCACACTGTGTTTCCACTTCTTCCCCTGCTTCTCATTTTGTTTCCCCCACTTAAATATGTAAATCACAGAGGCATTCACTGGTTTGGCTGTGGCCAGAGGTGGGGTTGATTTAGAGCCACAGGAGGCACCCCTGTGGCTCTTCCCCAGCTACCAAAACCCCACCACACAAACCCAGCACAGTCCCTCTGCAGACCCCTTGGGGAAATGCAATAAGCTACCTAGCAATGATGACTAACGTCATTACTGGGTCTAACCCATCAGGGATCAAGAGTCCACCTCTGCCCTTCTCCACTCACCAACCGTTTGAAGATAGCTCCTTTATAAGGACCTCAGCTGAGGAGAGGGACTAGGAGGAGAAAGACAGAGACTGAAGGTTTAGGGAAGAATTAACAGGTCATTTTGAAGAGTACCAGGTCTAGCTTTGAAGTTGGGAAAATCTGAATTAGTATTTGATTCCATTCTTCTGTGTGAGAAGCGTGATTATTCTTACTTTCCTGTTCTATTTTTAGAACATTTACTGAGGCAGCAGCAAAAGAGACTTTGATAAGGAAGTGCAAGTGAGAATTGTTTTTGCTAATACCACCCAGTACTGACAAGTGTGATACCGATAAAAAGAGGAAAACGAAGTGTTCATAGTATCCCAATTGCAAATAAAATGACTTATTAACTTTTCTGTCCCACCCAGATCATGATCAGAGCATGTGTGTTTATGCAAGAGTCCCAGGCAACTGGACAGCACCCCTTTGAAAAGAGAAGGAACAACTTTTGAAGGGAAATGGGTCCTAAGAAAATCTCTAAAACCACTGCATTAATACTTCTATACACACACATGTGCATGTACACACATGCACACACACTGCAGAATCAACAGCTTTATAAAGACAGAAAATGTCAGATCATTTGAAGAACATTTACCAGCTTGCTTTATCCATCCAAGCAGTTTTATAGCCCTAATGAGCATAAAACAAGAATATTCAGTATCACCAGCTCATCTCTACGTCTCTCTCTTCTTATGTCTGCTTTCAAGTTAGGCACCTGCAGATGATTATTAATAACTATTTCTACTTTGGCAACAGCATCCAAATTGCCAGTCAATACTGCTACTTCATTTTGACAGACACTGCACCAACACAGAGAGGAGGGGACAGACCCCAACATGGAGAGTTTTCAACAGAAATGAATGGCCAGTGCCAAGGCTAACAGGGAAACAGAGAATTTGTCCGATGCCCTGCAGAGCACATCAGAAAACAGACCGTGAACTTCCTGACTCTTCATATGGACTTCCAACAGATAAAAAGATTTTGCCATATGTAGTTCTTTTTCATACTTAAAGCAAAGGTTTTAGGCTTAAATCAGGGTAAGTCAGAAGACTTGTGGTGTAGCTTGCACGTGAAACATTACATCACCAATATGTAGTATGGCATGCTGGCTTTGCACCTTTTCAGGCATACATAGAGAGCTGTGAGGCAGACTTCCAATGGAAGAAATTATAATCCCATCACTGGAACAGAAAATTTCATTTAAAAGTGAAATAGCGACTGATTCTGCAAAGATAGGGAGGATGAAGGGACGGCCCAAGAAAACATTTTCATTTATAGTTTCCATAACTCTATAAAATAGACATGTTTTAAAACTCCTCATTAGTTCCTTTCTTCAAGAGAAAAAATATCCATGGATTATCTGTCATTAATACCTCATCCACATCTACACACGTTTCTTAGAGCCAAATTCAGTTGTCACTGACCTGTTCCACGCGGATATCAAACTCTCCATTCACCTTCTTCCCCTGGAAATATTTGGTCCTGCAGAAGAAACAAGAGAGACAAACTTGGTAAAAGAAGATTTTTGATTTTCATTACATACTGTTTTGCTTCTACATTTCTCTTTTTGCCGAAGAATTTCTATCCGGGTCACAGCATGTCTTCCAAATTCCTATCTTCTTTCAGCTTTCTGTTCTCCAGAAGAAACCTGCCAAGCCAGATGAAAACCACATTGGAAATTTCCTTCAAGACTTGTGACTTTTTCATTTTATTTTCAAACTGGAAACCAAATGCTCTCCTGATCTTTTCCAGAGCAACAACTCTAATCAACGATTCCTTGCTATATCTCATTTAAAACTCAATTCTAAAAAGGAGGAGAGCAACATATGGCATGGCATTGGAAACTTCTGATGTTGAGCAAGGATCTTTATCATCACAGCTGATGCGATGTAATTGTACTTGTGAAGCCTGTTCTCTTGCTCTCTCATTACAGAGCTGCTTTTTGATTCTGTTTGTCTTTCTGCTACTGATTTAGAGAAACAATAACTGCATCTACGTTGCCACTAATGAAGCATCTCTTCTGAACTGAGCAGCTGTGTTCAACTGGAGTTGAACAGTGGCATGAGAAGGACCTATGCCTTCCAACACCTCTGCTCCTGCTGCCTATTCTGTGCAGACAACAAAGCACTTCTGAAGGATCGGTTGTTCATGAGAGGGGAAGGCAGACAGTAGTTTTGGAGAAGAAAACATAGGAAAAGGGCAGGAAGTTCAAGCTTTTTTATTAATATTTGAGTATAATGTCCCTTACATTGATTAATCAGCAGGGAAATTGCCAGTATAATTTCCCCTGTGAATCTTTCTCCCTAATTTTCTCCTTGCAAACAAGCTTGAAAGAAGAAAACATGAATTCATTTTCTCAGACCTCCTTCTCTAAAACTTCAGGAAGACTATGTGAATTCCAAAATGCTCTTCTATTTGGAAAGCATTGAAAACAGTCAAGCCTTGCAAGAGTTGTTTCCAGAGACAAAGTAACTCTCTGCGTTCTGTTTCCAATTGGCAAAGACAGGACAGAATAAAGAAGTAAAGGAAAATGAGGGGAAGCCGGCTTTGCTCCCTATTTTATAGTATTAGCAAAAAAGGAAGCTGGCTCACACTTTTACTATGTGTCTATTTGTTCCAATAAAAAACAGAGAGACAGTAGGAAGGCAATTTTCCCCATGGCTGAAACACACAGTTTTCAGCTGAATGCTCCCCACCCCCAGCAACGTAAATAAAATTAGTTTGGTTTTGTTATTCTGGCTCAACACAAGGCTAAAAGTTTTCATTTTATTAGAAATTGATATTAAAAATGTCAGAAGTTTTCCACTTCACTCTAATGAGGGTATGTGAAGGCTGTATCATGGTTCCCTTCCCAGACAGCCCATCCATTTGCATGATGCTAAGACAACCTCTGCACAGATGTTAGCGAGGGACAGTGTAGCAGCCAGGTGTGACCAAGACAAAGTGGCTTAAACAACCCCTGTCCCGTATAAAAAGCAGAACTCCGGCCATTCTCCCCCCCTCTTTTGAATTTATGAGTGTTGCATGTAAAAAGGAACTCAGCAGACAAGCTGAGACGTCATGCTTCTAACAATAAACAGGAACAATAAATGCACTTAATAATTCCATCATATTTCTAGCGGCATGGCTCTAGAGGGTCTGGCAACATTTCTTGCTCCTAAACATTGGAGATATTGCTGGAGCCATCGACTTCTTAAAAACTGGAATAAGCTTTAAGTGGGCCCACAGGAACTGGTCTGAAATTTGAGGCACGCTATTCACTGGTACAAGCTTGTTTTTATTCCCAGCACACTCATAATGTAGACTCCTTACCCACATTTATGAAACACACTTCCTCCCTCTATGGCCTCTCCCCTCTGCCGACACTTTGGTGCTGCTTTGCTTCAGCTTGTAATGAAGTGTGATTAACCACAGTCTTCAGCCCAGTACAGATGGAGCAAAGAGGCTTCCACTACCTAGTCCAGAAAATTAGTCTTCACATGGTTAAGAACAATCCTTCTTCCCATCTCTACAACAGTGGCTCTGCTCATGGATAGTCACAGAGAGAGCACACCTAGCATGAGGAGTCACTGGAGTAGAGCAAGGGACCTTGACTTAGAAATCACGTGGCCTCTCCTTCGTATCCCTCTTTCCGCACAGGTTGTCTCATCCCCTGTTTCAGATAACTTTATTTTAACAGCACAATATATCACTTTCTTTCAAAGACAGCCTCTCAAGAGGGTTACCCTGTTCTGAATGTCTCTGAAGACTACAGGTGCTAAACAATTTTCAGTCAAATATTTTGGTCAGCCCATCATTTTGACACAGCCCAGGGTAAGAACAAAACAATTCTTACTGAAACATCTCTGAAATAGATGGAGTGATGTTTTCAATTCACACCTGGGGTTTTGAAGCCCCTGGGCAGTAGAGGTTATCATGTTGAAATGAAAAATTGCTTTAGCCTCACCCTGGAGCCCCTGAAATTTCAAGCAAGCTAGAATTGTTGCTGATGTTGCAGAAACATCATGATGCCTCCATTGCAAGAGGAAGAGTCTTTTGGTCAGTACTGTGTGATGTACAAAATGACTCCTGGTCCCTACAGGAGATGTGGGATGGAGGAAAGGAAGACCATGCTGCTCTAGCACAAAGAAAGAAAGATCGATGCTTCTGGAAGGTGAAACTGTGCAAGACATTTGGGGATGCTCTCTGCCTCAAAACCACCTCAGCAAGGCTCTTCCAGACCTCTACCTAGGAAGTGACATGCTGCAGGGTTATCTGGACAGCTTGTAGTGCAACAGGGGAGCAGCACCCCGAAGACCAGTCAAAAGCCTTTCTGGGGACCCTCAGAAGTGTCCCCATTCCCTTCCAACACAGCCAACTGCCAGCAGATCAGAGAAGTGGCTCATCACTGCAGGGGTGTGTGTCGGGGTGTGTGTGCTGTCTGCCTGGCATCCCCCAGCTTGGGGCAGCGTGCAAGGCACTAGCCATGCAAAGCCACCCCTTTTCGCAGGCAGCCTGCAGCACTGACCACTGCTTGGCTGGCCATCCCTTTATTTGAAAGCATGTCAGATGTCCAACCCGCCAGAACACAGCATTATAATCTGGGTAGCCAGGGTGCAGATGGGGTGGTGCGGTTGCTGTGATCTCAGTAAATTAGCATGTAAACATGTTTTGACTGAAGAAAACTGCAGGGCCATGCTCAAGAGCAGTGCCTGGGTGGGATTTACAGTGCTAGGCAATGCATTTAATTGTGGCCGCAACAGCTGGGAGGGAAGAAACACCATAATAAACAGCCAAAGGTCTGCTGTGTCTTCCAGGGAGAAAGCTTGCCTTGAACCCCTCTCTCTTTGCAATGAAGAAGCCACACACTCTGGAAAAAGACATATTTTCTGGGTGCAGGCACATCAGACAAACATAACTTGTGTTTTCTGCCTCAGCCCTGACATGATTACAGGGCCACAGGAAACCTGATGCTTCTTATGAAGTAATTTGGAAAGAATAAAAACTTATTTTCCAGAGCTGCCATGAAAAGGTCCCAGTCTGCCTCAGCAACCATGACTGGAGGAAGCATATACATGATTTTCTGTCAGATACAGAGTGTATCCCTAATAGCAGCAGGGAAAAATAAATGATAAATTAATCTCCAATTACCTACATAGGAGCTAATTCACAGAAAGTCCATGTATAACATTAGTGTCCTTAGGTGTTCGCAAAGCATCTATCTGAGCAAGGGATGGCAGCACTGATGCAAGGCTGCAAACGCAACTGTAAGATACTCGGGTACCAGATTTTATCCCTCTGGTGTCACCAACAGCTGGGACAACTTTTACTACACCTATATGATGGCTGCCCTAATTAGTGTGCTCCCCTGCACCTTTGTACTAATGCCCTTAGTCTGCAAACACAAGGATTCAGCCTTCATGGGGCACCAAGTTCCCCATCAAATCCTCAGGAGTCACCAGCTCCATGGGAGGTAGGGCTGGGCCAGTGGGCTACAGGTATGAGAGCTGAAGGGACCAGCCTGCACCCCTCTGCTACTCCTGCATCATGGGGAAACACGGCACAGGAGAAGCAACTCCTACGTGTGGAGTAGGGGCTTCCAGGATCAACAGCAAAGAGCCAAAACTCACAAGCTACTTCTGTTAGGAGAGCACAGATCATCTTGCAATTTCTCTCTGTACAATAAATAAATGATTATGCCTGCCTTGTACTCTCTCTGCTTTAAAACAAAAGTAGGTGCAGTAAGAGCTCAACCCATCATCCAACACATGCTCAGCACAGGAATCCAAGGGAAGCTATTTATGTAGAGCTTGTACTGTCTCTCCTGGAGTTATTTCTTCTCTCATCCTTCTGCTTTTTTTCTCTTGGTGCAAAGAAACATATCCAACCTGCCTCAGAGGACTGCTTCAGTGTTTTTGCCTGGATCTGTGAGAAACAGAGACACGAGGGATGCAGCAGGGGACTGTACAACTTCTGCTGGGCTGGAAAACGCTCTGCATAGGTGAGGAACAGGAAAAGATGTCCAGGTATCTCTAGCATCAGCTAGAGAAAGTGCCCAAGGGGCGCTTCCCCACGTACAGTGCCACTAGACAGCAGCCCATGTAAGAATAGGTGCAGAACACCAGACTCTGCATTGGGAAGGGAGTAGGCAGGAGGGACAAGAGATTTGAAGGCCACGGTGGCCTGGAGGAGTGCAGTGTTTCAAAGCTTAAAGCTGTCCCTGCAGGTCTGTTAGCTGGATGAAGCAGAGGTTAATGACACATTATGCAACTTCGAACACAGGCTGGTATTTCCTATTAAAGTCATGGGACTTCTTCAGGGTATCCTGTAAAAATGGCTCCTGTATGAAACAATTTTCTAGGATAGGAAAACATCAAAGAAATATAGCTCAGATCTTCCTGTGAGAGGCCTCAGTGGAGCTGACATAGCAAGCATCATTGCAATTGCTGGTAGTGTGTCTTGGAGTAACTGGGAAGCCATCCTTCAGATAAAAAAAATAAGCC